TATTTGTTTCAGTTCCAGTAAATGTTTTCATTTAAATAACATGTTTCCGTGAGATAAATGTGTTATTCGAGGTTTTAGCATAATTTATATTTTTAAGTTGGCTAAAGTAAGAATCAGCCAGTTGCACTTTGACAATTTTAAGTCATTTCTGAAGATAACTGTCGTAATAATAGCAGAATATTCTCTGCCATACTGCACTGCCTAGTGGGCTTGGCTTGTTAGCCTAGTACCACTGCGTCATGTGACAGTCCTGTCACATGACTCAGTAGTACATGTGCACAAAAGCAGCGGCACTTACAGTACCCTTCCATGAAACCGCAGCAGTGCATACAGGAGAGAAGTAGCAACAGTGTCGATCTCATTAAACTCGTATTGATCGATATTGATACAAACGTTGGTGCCCATAATATCGATATCTGGATCGACCCGAACACCACTAGTAGCGGCAGGAGCCGGTGAGATCACAAGATGCGTCTAGAATGGACGTCACGTCTCTGTTTCTTGATTCTTCACTTCGTGTTTGCAGGTGAGACCTAACTATTCCGCTGCTCTTGTATTGAACTGCCGTTACTGTCGTTGTAGATACACGCACACAAGATTGTGATTTTGTTTTGTTTTTTTAAATCTCACCTTATTAAACCCTCACATACTATCACGTTGAATGAACTGAACCTCTTGCACCGAATCCCTCGGTGTAGACCTATTCTCCTGACAGAGGATTGTCACGGTCAGTAGAGCAGCCCGCAGTTAAAAAAAAAAAAAAAAGGAAACCGTACAACCTGCCCTACACCGGGACGCGCACAAAGGTGTGGAAACGACACCCACTAGAGCGTAGAGCAGCCATTTTATAGCCTTTTGTAGCCAGCCCGTTGTACTTACCACGACATGCAGAGGCTCTAAACACCTGCTACTTTGTGCCTGATCCCACTCGGCAGCAAACATTAAGACGTTGAAAGCTGCTGACAGACTCCTTTTTCTCAACGACGCTTAGTCATGAGTTAAAAAATATTTTCCAAAGTTAAGCCCGCGTTGCCTTCGGGTACTCCTTGTTTAAGCTTCTAGCAAAGCTGTTTTCTACCGTCCACGAACGATAACACAAACGTTAATAACCCAAACGAAGCGACGTTTTAAAGCCACGCAGGCTCCCAAAGCAGCTACACTACACAGCCCCGCCTTTGGAACGGAGGCGTGCACGCGGACGCCCCGGCAAGACAAGCAGCCGGGCGAGCGCGCTCACGCTGCGTTAAACACTCAGAAGGAAATGGATTTATGAATAAATCAGAGGAAATTGTCAGTCTTAAACCTGCCCCCAGCACGGGTTATCTTGGCTGCATACAACGTGTGACCTCACTGGAAAAGTCGCATGGCAACGATGGTTTCTGTAAAGTTTACCACACAAAGACAGTGCAGGTTTTTGTCCCTGTCCTGCACAGTGTGAACTCAGGTCCACAGGCAGCCTGTGCAGGCTATTCATTAGTATGGAGTTCAGTGGGATTCTGTGGTGCTTTAACAGTTTTAAACTAGTCTATTGTCACGTTTGTGTGATTCAACCAGCATATACCAGAGACCAGTTATCTCTATTTCTCACTCTGATTGGCTGCTGTAGAAGTTACTGCTTCCTCTCTGCTCTGTGTTGTTTTCTCTTTCAGACCAGGAAACCATCTCAGCTCAGTCTGGGCAGAACGTCACTCTGACATGTCAAGCTCCAAACAACAACATCCCAGTTGTGGAGTGCAAAAGAGCTGATCTGGCAGAATATGTAATTTCATATCGGGATGAGCAGTCTGATCCAGAAGAGCAGCATCAATCTTTTAAGAACCGGGTGGATCTGCAGGACAGAAAGATGAAGGATGGAGACGTGTCTTTGATTCTGAGGGATGTGAAGGTTAATGACACTGGAACATACGAGTGTCGTGTTGTACAGAAATCAGGAGAATCAATGGGGCTTCTCTGCACCATCACACTGAGTGTTGTTGATCCTCCAGGTGAGTGAGTAGAGTTGAGTGTGTGTGTGATCAGAGGTGAAGCTGCTTCCTGGTTGTTGATGTTTGTTTCTAAAGATGTTGTTGATGAGACTTTGTAGAAAGCAGCTGGTCTGAGTGATGTGATCAGTGTAGGAGCCATATGAGTTGTTCCTTTTTGGACTAAGTGGGTTGGTTTAAATGGACTCACTGTATTGGTGCACGGGTGTGGGGCGTGTCTCATGGGTGTGGTATATAATAAATGTGGTTGCACTCACTTGTTCACAGCACCTGATGTTGATGAGCAGGAAGGTGGGGTGAGCATGAGGCAGAACTTTCTGTTGACCGCAACTTGATCGCAGCTTGAATTATTTTGATGTATTTTAACTGTAATTTGATGGTTTTTGTATTTGTGCACTAATTTGATGCCATGGACCAAGTTGTAATTTGGCATAGTAGTTAGTGCAGTTATTGGTGAGTTGCAGTTATTTGTTTGTGGTCTGTGCATTTGTTTAATAAGTTAATCCCAGGCACTGATTTGGATATTGGACAGTTGCATGTGGAATAAAAGGAGCAAATGGTACAGAAGTGTATTTTATGTGTTCATGTTTAGCCTGCCGCGGCCATAGGTTGGAGGAGCCGCAACAATCAGAGTGCAGTAGATAATGTCTGACAGCAGTTTTGAAGAGGAAATGGAAATAAAACTGTTTTCAATTTGTGTTCAAGCTCATTGATATGTGTCTCTGTAGCTCTTCATACTGATTGGCTGTTGAAGAGGTAAATCTTTAACCTCTCTGTTCTGTGTTTTTCATCTTTCAGGCCAGAAAACCATCTCAGCTAAGCCTGGACAGAAGAACATCACTCTGCCATGCCAAGTTCCAAACAACAACACCAACGTTGTAAAGTGGAGCAGAGCTGACCTGGAGCCAGAATATGTCCTTGTGTACCGGGGTGGACACTTTGATTCAGCCAACCAGCATCCATCTTATAAGAACCGGGTGGATCTGCAGGACAGACAGATGAAGGATGGAGACGTGTCTTTGATTCTGAGGGATGTAACGATTAATGACGCTGGAACATACGAGTGTCGGGTCTTCAAGATGGGAGCAAGCCGCAAGAAGAGAGCTTATCAGGGTGGTGACCTCATCAGCATCATCAACCTGAGAGTTGTTGTTCCTCCAGGTGAGTAGAGTTGAGTGTGTGTGTGATCAGAGGTGAAGCTGCTTCCTGGTTGTTGATGTTTGTTTCTAAAGATGTTGTTGATGAGACTTTGTAGAAAGCAGCTGGTCTGAGTGATGTGATCAGAGTGCAGTAGATAATGTCTGACAGCAGTTTGAAGAGGAAATGGATTCTGTTCTGTTCTTCACTCATCACCTACCTGACAGCTGACACCTCACACCTGTTTCTCACCTGCAGGTCACACAGGAGGACACACAGATTATGGATCTTTTGGACTGAAAGTTGGTCTTCCAGTTGTTATTTTCCTTCTTCTTGCTGGTGGCGCCTTTGTTGGTTATTTGATCTACAGAAAATATAAACAACGTAGCCAGGACTCATATTGCTCCACCACTGAACCACAGATTGAAATGTCTGAGAGATTTCAGAGTTCTGAATCTCCTGCTAATGAACACAATGACAGAAATGACCCGGAAGAAAACAACTGTCACCAACACTCCACAAGCCACTCTGACACTTGAGAATGAACTACTTCATCCTCCTCCTCAGGAAACAGCAGGACTGCTTCCAGAGAGTGACATCAGAGTGCAGTAGATAATGTCTGACAGCAGTTTGAAGAGGAAATGGATTCTGTTCTGTTCTTCACTCATCACCTACCTGACAGCTGACACCTCACACCTGTGTCTGACCTGCAGGTCAGACAGGAGGATGGATGGAGGGAAGGAGGATGGAGGGAAGGAGGATGGATCTGTTGGACTAAAAGTTGGTCTTCCAGTTGCGTTTGTTGGTGTCGTGATCTACAGAAAATGTAAACAACAGAAGCAGGGTTGTTTCCAGCCTCCAGCTGAACAGCAGCATGTTTGTAATGTTTCTGGGTTTTTTTTTTTCCGGATGATCTGAGTCTACGTACACGGGTATTTTTGAAAACTCAGATTTTTCTTTTTTCTAAATCCCGTCCACACATGCGTTTTTTTTAAAAATGTCTCCGTTCACATGCGAACGCCAAAAACAAAGTCAAATGCTGTCAAGAACATGCCACATCCTAGCCACGTAGAAATGTTGGCCAATCAGAAGTCTTGAAGCCTGGGAGCGAAAGAGTAAGCTGTAAGGTTTTATGCAAAGTTTTTGTGTTTTTTCTGGTAATTTTGTGTTACTTTTCAAGTGTCTTCATCATTTCAAATGTTAATAACCAAAGACAGTATTTTGGCTGGTGTAGACTTACAACTTAGGAATGAACAAATGCATAAATTTAATTAAACAAAAATGAAATTTATTCAAAACTGACGTTGGTAGCAGGATTTTGGTTGTGAGAGCAACACTGAGCATTCATGGTACAGTTTAGAATATCCTGAAATTAAATTTTAGAACATCTAACATTTTGTATTAAGCATCTTTGTAAAATTAGACTAAATATTCATCACAAATATGTATATTTTTTGTGCTTAAAGAAAATATTTAGTGGTTTTCATGGAAGTGAGACAGGAGCAGACTGAAATGTCACATGTGCCTTCACAAATTTCTTCAAGTTTTATTTTAATTTTTTTGGTGCGAAGCATCAATAAACAGTCCAGCAGATATTTTCAGGTTTTATGTTTAAACACATTATTATTATTATTATTATTATTATTATTATTATTATTGTTATTGTTGTTATATAAAAATGATCCAAAGAACAAGTTGTGCCTTTAGCTCCTCACTGACTACTCAACAATCTGAACTGTAAGCCTTCATATTTATTTAAAAAGAGAAAGTTGTTACTTTTGCTTGTTATATCAAACTACCTCCTGCTTCACTTTAAACAGATAAAACATATATTTATATTACAAAAGCGTCTGACATTTATTATATATAGCTTTAAGCACTGCATGCATTTAACTTTATTAGAGCACACTGTATTTAATATATTTATTTTGACTGCAGACTTCATTAGTGATGAGGAGTAGGATTTATTTTTTTAATAATATTGTATAAATGTATTTCATTTATAATGCAATTGACTTCGATTCATACAATTGTTATGCTCCTGTTTCAGGGGGTTTGTGGTTCTAATGTTTCTACTGTAAAGATAAAGTGCCTTTTGATATGACTGTTGTTGTTTCCTGAATAAAACTGAAGCTGGAATCAAAGTGATCCACGTTTTGTTTGTTTGTTTTGTTTTTCTTGCAGTTTTCAGACAATTTTACTACAAATATTATTTTACCAATAAATATTAAGAATACATAATGAATCCCATAAACCGTGACAGAGTTCATAAACACAACAGCTGCTATAAATGCTGTAAAACATGTTTATGTTTTAATTTGTTAACCTGGTTGTTTATGACTGCAGAGAGAAAAAACAAAGGATTTAACTGATTTTTGTATTTGTGAAATGTCAGAATAAAGAGAGAGTTGTTTTGTACTTTTTATAACTTTCATCGAAGTCAGAAGTATGCATACATTTCCTTAGTATTTGGTGGATTTGCCCCGAAATTGTTTCACTTGGGCCAGACATTTATGGTATCCTTCCACAAGCTTCCATCTATAATAGTTTGCTGGAGTCTTGACTCACTTGACAGAACTGGTGTATAAATAGATAAATAAAAGCTTTGGGGTCATTAAGACTGACAAAGTGGAGTTGTGGTGTAATGTAGGCAAGCTACAGGCAGGAAGCACGACTGTAGCTTGCCTACATTACTGTATACTGTATGACTGAATGTTGCAATCAGTGGGTGTGGCATAACTCTAACTACTGAACATGAATCTTTGTGAGTCAAAGAAAAGCTGACGATGGAATTTTCCACTCTTGCCAAACGCAGTACTGCATCAAGTATTTACTGCACACAGATAATCTCAAAGGTGAAATCACAAAGTTTCTCTCTTCAAGAATGTTTGATCCTATTTGAAGTGCCAAAAAGCGACCAATGCTGTAATTGACTAATGCATGGGTTTTATAAGCTGATGGAAGTGTTTTCTATTCACATAGAATTAAATTCTATGTGAATCTGAAGGTATCCTGTAACCTGACCTGTCAGATTAATGCAGCGCTGACAACTAAATGACTCTTGGGTCAGACTCTATGCAGATGATTTACTTTATATTTGATTTATTTGATACAGTTGTAGAAATAACGAATGAAAAACAAATCGTGACTGTAAAGACAAGTGTGTCTCAGCAGATACTATTTCAACCCTCTGGATCTGAGGCTGTTTTACTTGCTTAGTAATTTAGTGCAATGCATAATGTGGCACAACAACCATCACGGGAGCTTTCAGAACATCATCCAGGTAAAATCTAGCATAAAAGCTGCAACTGCTGATTCCAGTTGACCATGAAAACCACCCACATTGTTCATCACTCTAAGATGTATCACAACACTGCAGCTGCAAATCACCAACGGTTACAGTGCAAATGAACCATTACATGTGGAAAAAAGCAGGACAGGTGTTGACCCAAGCTACTGTTGCTATGCCCAACAAAATGTGTATACCCTGCGGCAGGAGCGTGCACCAGGCTATCCAATCATGAACAAACAGTCCCCAACATTCTTGGTTTTATTTTATTTTATTTTATTTTATTTTATTTTATTTTATTTTATTTTATTTTATTTTTGGTCACCTCAACAATAATAATTTTCACAACTGTTAAGTTGTTGAATTTCATCCAGATCATACACGATTTAACTGCGTTCACCAGAGTTTTACAATTATTTTTGTTCAAATTACACATTAGACTTCTGTAAATGTAACAATCAGTTTCACTTCCTGTTTAAAATCTTTTAGTATCTCTGACATCAAATGAGCAAAAAATAGTCTTAAATATAACAACACCCAACCTGACAGACTGTTACCAAACTACACCCTCCACTTTATTTAGTTCATTAATTGAACTAATTCATGGTCTCTCCTTACTAATTTCTTATCTTCAGAGATGACTAAAATAATGTTTAACAGGCAATAGTGTCGTTCTATATTCTGCTTATGTATACAAACACAGTTATACAACATCCAGACTTTTATCATGAGCTGTGGTCGGTTTAGGATTACAGATAAAACAAGCACACACAGACAGTCATCATCACTGTGTGCTTTTTCACCTACAGTGAAATGTGACACTGGAGTTTGCATGTGAGTCACATGACAGACATTAAAGACATTGTGTGCCATTCACAGCTTCTTTAGTTTGGCATTAGTGAAATAAATGGAAGTAAAAGGGGGTGTTTGTCTTAAAATAAACCTTTGCTATTGATTTCAAGTCCCAGAACTGAGTTCAGCCCCACAGGAAAGTAATTATACTCCACCCCCATAATTCAGTTTTTGTGCAGCATGGAGGCAGTTTTAGAGGGAAGCTGACAGCAAACAAATCAAATGCAAACATGCACTATGCTGCTGTTGTAGCTGTCATGTGTGACAATGTGCCTTTAATACCACGTAGATGAATCATACAGATAGATTGAGTCTGCATATGTTGAGACTAACACTAAATAATAGTAAAACTGTGTTACTTCAACTGTTTTATGTGTGAGTTAAAGAAAAATTACTCTTTGTTCTGTGTACAAGGCAGCGCTCTGCTGTTTCTATGGTGTGGGGGAGGTTTTGAAACCAGCCCTGAACACAAGTTTGCAGCAGAGGAGGGGGAGGTGAAGCTGAATGGCAAACCACAACCTCCATTTTCTTCTCTGCTTACAGTCACAGGCTCATTAGGAGCTGTGGAGGTTACATTTTAATTTTATTTTATTTATTATATATCAAAGAAGGTCAGTATTAAGGATTATTATCAGCCTTTACTTGAAGAAATAATCCTGTGCTGCAGGGCTCGCTGTTGCCAGTGCTGCAAACCCTTGGCCTTCTCTCAGTGAGCTTCATGATGTAATCACCTGAAATGGTTTCCCCTCACAGCTGAGCCTTGTCGGGGTTCACTTGTGGAATTTCTTGCCTTCTTAATGAGGTTGAGACCATCAGTTGTGATGTGCAGAAGTCTGGTTGTTACACAGCCCTATTTGACAATTGTTAAATTCACATTATGGCA